ACCTTAGATCATAAAATATTTTCTTCGCACTAGTGCCCTCCAATTCTCACATTAACCGTCACTGTCACCATGTTCATATTTCACACAATGAAACACACAGAGAGCGCGTCTCACACGCAAAAACACGCAGAAACCTCTGAGCTCACCTTTGAACTGCAAGCGCACCACAAGCCAGACTCTATTTCATATGCTGAACTTTGGCCGCGTCTTAGAAATTCTCCCCGTTTCTTGCAACAGAAGCCAGTCATACACAACGTTAAATGTGGAGGGTAACGTGGGCTGCAACTCTAGTCTCAACATAGAATGTTTTTAGTATCTTGCTAGAGCCAGTTCCTATGACACTGGAATTCAGCCTCAACTCATGATGTTAGTATCTCGTGCCGAAAACCAGACACCGACAAATTTAATGTGAAAATGCGTGTAACTCAGCGAACAGATTAATTTGGAAAGCCCAATATGCACATTTGGTATTTATAATACAACAGGCTGTGCTTACCTTTTTATATTTGGACCGGTCCTCTGCTCGCCTGGCCTCACGATCTCACCACAGGCCAAATCTGCCTTCCTCAGCACATCAAAGATCCGGGTCACACAGCACCAAATTGTTAAATCCTCCCAATTCTTTCGATCTTTGGGCTGAAGGAAGGACACTACTCGGTGTATAAATGCTCAATCAACAATCCTTTATTCCATACAATTCAACACTTTATGAACATAAACCATCCGGATGGGGAGACGTGCATGCAGAGGGACACAGCAAACATCAAACTGGTGGAGGGTTACTCAAGCTCTTCTAGCCTCTAGTGGCCCCACCTAGTCGTAAAAGCCTAAACGTTCTTAGCGAGCCTGACTTATGGCCTTTGCTCCCTATTTTGTCTGCCTTCAACAACGGTGGGGGTGATGTGCTCTCTGTCTCCTCTACTATCAGAAAAAGCAAAGTCCTGACTCTCCAAAAACAGTATTTCTTATAACTCAGCAGTATAATGCATCATAAACAAGATCCATCTTACAATATAAAGCGCCTTAAGGTGACTGTTGTTGTGATTTGGCGCTGTATAAATAAAGATTTTTTTAGTTGCCACTTTATGTGTGTGCTTACCAACTGTGTGTTATTGCTGACCTTGTATTGCTTACAATACAAGGTCATTGTGAGAAAGTGTGCATCCAGATGACCGGTGCTAACATCTACACCACGTTTTCCACAGCAGAGGGTAATCATGTGATTTGATCACGTGATTTACAGCAGGACACACCACTACAGCTACACAACTTACAGCTGCGTTGGAACGGAAGAGAGATCAGCGATGGAATTACGACTCTTTAAACACCACAGACACAAGGAGCCCGGACCCTGATTAAAACTGACTGACAAATTACTTGTGCACATTTTTATGACAGGGAAACAGTTTCTTTAGTGTGCAGCAGATCCTCATTCTTCTCAGTGAAAGCAAAGATGATTGGACATGAACAAAAGGGGGTGAGAGAATACCAAATACCAACATTAAACAAATACGTAGGACAGCTTTCTTACATTTGTGTAATCTCTCTAAAAATAGAAAGATCCTGCCTCAGAGTTATATTGAAAAGCTTGTTTGTGCATTTATTACTTAATGTTTAAATTACTTTTATTGTAATTTATATTACTCAGGCTGTCTTAAAAACTGTTTGATGATCCATTAAAAGAATAAATCACATGTTCTAACTGTTTCCATCTTCCCTGCTCCATTATATGTACATCATGTCCTGTCACCTGTCAATCTGTTGGACACTTCCTGTGAATTAAGACGACTCTACTTAACCTTTTAACTGATTATCATAGAATGTAATCAGATATTTCCTCAGCTAAAATGGTTGTGTTGTTCACTTTAAAGAAATGGAAATACTAATTCCAATCTATGGAAAAAAACCATCCATCCATTAGTCCATCAACACACCATCTGTTAAATGTCATAATAAACCTTTTGGAGCCTATGTTTAACTGCACGTCAGCTGTTCTGTTAGCCACTGCAGCCAGCTTCAGTTTTTTCACAGTTTTCAGCTTTCAGGTTGGTTTCTGTGTTTTTAAGAGGAGTCTTACAGTTGGGCTGGATTAGCTGACCTTGAATCCTCCCTTAGTTGGCCGAAGCTGCTCGAGGCTTCCCATGATGCTCTGAGTATTTGGTCTTTACTAAACGTTTCACGCTGTCTGTTCGACCATGCTTTCCATGTGTTCCAAAATCACATTTTTGGGGACGAGTTTGTTGCATTCAGTTTGTTGTGATTCCTTAACAAACATTCAGTAGCACAGCAGTAGTTGTAAACAATGCTTTCCATGTTTAATAAGACACTACCTCGCTGGTTTATTCTAGGTGTGTAGCATCAGGCGCAGCTTTAGTTCCCAGCCATCGTATAACCTACTTCAGGGATGTCAAACTCAGTTTACATCGTGGGCCACTTACAGCCCGCTGTGATCTTAAGTAGGCCAAACCAGTGAAACTGCCCTTTCTGTCAGTGTAAAGATGTTTCAAGACACATTTAATTGCAATTAATATGAGAAAGACAAGTGCAGTTTTAACAGTATGTCTCAGTTTTGTATGACTGTAAGTGATTATTCTGTGAATGCAGCAGAACAAATAAATAAATGTGTAAAATTACTGCAAAGATTCTCTTAGCTTAGTGCCCGGACACTTGTAATTAAAAAACAGAGTTCTTCAGTAATTCAACAGTTTCATTTATTTATGCATTTATTTTTTTTAGTCTAAAGTAAAAAGTATCTAATCTAATTCATTACTTGGTGTAATATGAATGGGAGAGGACTCTATCTGTAGGAAAATCTGATAAAACTTTAAAATACAGTTTTAAAGTCCAAAATTCGTGCCCTCCTTCATATATTCCAAAGCCATCAAGTGGGCCATATTAGAGCCTTTGACAGGTCGATTTTGGGCCCCGGGCCTTAAGTTTGCCATCCAGACCTACGTGCTTGAAGTACACCAACACCATCTCAAAGCTGGACGTAGATACAGTGACATCATCAGCTCAAGTCACCATCACTACTTTCAAGCAACCGGATGAACGTGAATACAGCGTTAACGTCGGAGTGCTGCGGTTTAAATGGTATACATCAGGGGTGGGGAACTGTGATGAGACAGCAGACGTCACAAACACAACACAGCTAGCAACTTTTGTGCGTGGGATTACGGGCGACTTTGAAATGAAGGAGGAGCTGCTGTCTTTGTAAGCCGTGCACGGCACTACTAAAGGTGAGGCTTTGTTTGAACAACTGTGACACAGGAAATAGCTTCTGACCCTCCAGGTAACTGCACACAGATAAACTGAGACATATGAGAAGCATACAGTGGGTCTGTGTGATGGTTCATTGGGTAGAAACAGGCTCTAAACCAGGGCTGTTTTATACAATTACATTTGGCCCCCGAGATCATTTCATATGTCAATTATTAATGTGGCAGCCGAATCCTCAGCCCTGCTGAGAATCTATGGCGTTGGAGTTTATTTTGATGGGCACAAAACAAAACAAATAAGCTGCCAGCAAAACTTGCACCTATGAGCATGGACTCAGATCCACTTCAGCTTATCTGTGCTCAAAGCCGTGTTTGATGTTCGTGGAAGCTCGTATTCCACGAAACCAAGTAGTATTTCCAAACTGAAGATCAAGTTTAATACAACAGAGGATATCAGAGACGGGCCACGAAATGGACATCCCAAGAAGACCAATTTCTTCACCCTGTCAGCACTTCAAGTCAATTTTATTTATATCTCAGTTACATCAACAGTTCTGTACGAGAAGGATTTTTACATTTGATTCTGGATTTAACAGAATATGGGAGAAACCTGCTCTCTCGTTCTAGTCCCTGTCAGTACTCTCACATTTTTGTATCAACTGACTATCAAGGAGTTTTTCAGTCCAATGTTAGATCATTATAATAGTCCAGCCCAGAAGTATTAAATGCAAAAACCAGTTTTTCAGCATCAGTCTGAGACAGGAAGCTTTTCAGTTTTAATTAGAGATATTACACAAATCCAAGAAAGCAGTCCTACATAACTCTTCAACATGCACATTCAAGAAGCTCAAAAATGACTAAAAAGGTTCCTCACAGTGTTACTGGAAGCCAAAGTAATGCCATCCACATTAAGTATGTGGTTGGATACCATGTTTCTAAGGTTTTTAAGGCTAAGTACAATAACCTCAGTGTTATCTGAATTTAGAAGCAGGAAATTCAATGTCATCCACATGTTTATCTTTAAGACATCCCTGCAGCCTAACTAATATGGTGTGTGTCATCTGGCTTTAATAGTTAAAGCTGGGTAGCTGCATAGCAATGAATATGCTGTGCCTTCCAGTGATACTGCCTAAGGAAAGCATGCGTAATGGACAGAATTGGTACTAGCACAGAACTGAAGACCACTCCATTTACATGACCAAATTGGAGTAAATCTGTTTGCACCTACAGCATGCTCAACAGTGTTAAATATTGCACTGAGGTCTAGGAGGACAAGCAGAGATGAGCCCACTGTCAAAGGCCATACGATCATTTGTCACCTTCACTAAAGCCCACTAAACATCCATAATTAGCAAAGACAGCTGGGATCTACTTTCACGATGAGCCTCTTGAGGTTGTGGTGATCAAGTTTATCTTTCTGAAATACATAGAGCGTCACAATATTTTCGTATTTTGAGATGCACTGCTGCAGGATTAGCACACGAGTGCCCAGAGGAAACGCATCCCAAGTACTGAGCTGACCACGAGGTTCAAAACCATCAGTGTGCCCATTGCACAGCGTCAGGTGTCAATGCAGCTGCATAGCAATGAAATGCTGTGCCTTCTAATGATGCTGCTTAAGGACAACCCCAGCACATTATCAGCCGAGTAATTCTATTGGACTTTTTTAAGCCCTTTAAAAGACACATGTAAAGTTGGCAGCTTGGTGTTTGGTGGTGGGAGCATCGTCTTCATCCAAGAGGACCTTCACATTCTCACAGATGTGGAAACCAGAAGCTTTTCCCAGGTTTGAGCAAAATGTAAGCTTTTTATTTGAGACACTGGGCAGTACAGGATATTTTATACAGACAGGAGCATTCTTAGAACTTTAACTGCAGTAAATCATGACGTGATTCATGTAGAAAACAAATGTGTAACATTTTCTCAGTCTTGGTCTTAAACACTACAGCTATCCTCCTATGTATTTTTTTTAAATAGTGCACTGACTGTTTTGGTGTGATTTACATCTACCATCTCTTCACCAGAGACCCTACTGAACAATGTGAACAATGACAACGAGTGAGGCATCTTTTACACACCCGAAAGCACATTACAAGCAACATCACTCATTTAAACATGTTCCCTGTTAGCTTCCTGCTGTGCTCATGAGCACCACATGCTGTGTAACACCAGTCCACGTGGCTGCTGTGTCTTTGCTCTGTAGTGGACCAGGGAAGGAATTCTGTACACAGTTCTGAAGAGCCCATGAGATAACGTGGCTGGTTTATGGCTAAACAAGCAGGAAGCGGCTAAGCCTCAGTTCTCCTCTTGATCTCACTGATAAGATCTGCTCTGGATATATCGACCTGTGCACAAACAGCAGAGGGGGGGGGGCAGCAAGATAACGTGACGTGTGTGTGAGCATTTCTTTATGTGTGTAATTACAATGACTTGGTGTGCGTGCATCATACCTCCTCTCTGGTTGCCACTACACGCAGCTTCACCACTCCATCCTTCAGCTCCTGTTCTCCCAGTATAGCCACGAGGGGGATTCCTGCTTCCTCACAGTACTGCAGCTGACTCAGCAGTTTGGGGTTCTTTTTGTACATCACCTCAGCCTGCACACACACACACACACACACACACACACACACACACACACACGCACACGCTCTTTACTGTTCCGATGTCATCTCACCAGTACACATACAGTGGTGTGTTTGCCTCCTTCATGATTTTGATTTTTTCCTGTTTGTCACACTTAAATGTTTCAGATCATCAAACGAATTTAAATATTAGACAAAGATGATATAAGTAAACACAAAATGCAGTTTGTAATATTTTTGTCTAGGGCTGCTCAATTAATCGAATTTTAATCACGATTACGATCTGGGCTTTCAACGATCATTAAAAATGACTGAGCTGATTATTAGCCCCTCCCTCATGCTTTACTCTCGCGCTGCTCCGTGTGGTAAGTCAAGCGCACCGCTCTCCATTTCGAACACGCGTCACAACAATTAAGAGGACCCGAGGGAAGCTCGGAAAGCTAAGCAGAAGTTATTTGGAGAGGAGTGGACTGCCGTTGGTTTAAAAGAGAGGTAAAAAAAACAAAACTTCAGTGGTGTGGAAACATTATGGGTTCGCGGAGTCAGACGTGGATCAAGTAGACACAGTGTGTAAACTTTGCTACGGTGTCGTAGCTGCACCACAGAGCAACACTGCAAAGTTCACTAAACATAGATGTTTACATTTTTCATTTATTTCTTATATTGCAAACATTTGCACTGTTATCAGTATTTGCACACTATTTTATATTATTTTTTAAAGTCATTATTCAACACATTGTTATTGTTAACCCTTTAAAGCCGGTCAGAGCAGCACGCTCCGTTTTGCCTAACCATTTTTAACTCCCTGTAGAACCTGAACCGTGTAAGCTAGCGCAATAATTTGTTTTGCATATGAAACCGGAGGAGTTGTACTTACATCTGATGCCATCAGCTTGTCCTCGGTCATGGTTTCCTTCCACATACAGCTTTGCAAAAATTGCATAAAAAGCACTTGCAGCAACAAAAACATAATATTCCAGAAACAGGCTTTGCCGATCCATCAGCTGTTCTTAACACTTCCCACTTTGAAAAAGACGTCAACGTGAACTGTCGCATTTCCTGCCCGAAACCAGAAGTGACGTCATTTTCGCAGAAAATCTAGTTTTTTACTTGTAGGCCTTAAAAGCCTATACTAGTGTTTTTATAAGTCATGTTTGACTTTTCTGAATAGTTGCTGGGATGCTTGGAACTCATATTGCACTGCTGGAAATAGTTTATTTTGATGCACCTGCTGTTTTCTTTGCAAATTTGCATCATAGGATTGTTTTTTGTTTTTCCTGCAGTATATAAAAATTGCTGTATCTCCAAAATAAAACTATGAAGACACTCAAAATAAATTTTCTGTTGTTGTAAACTATTTTTTGCAACTTTTTTTGTATTTAAAGTTTTGAGGGATAAACCTCTTAAATTTCTCCAAGTAGAAATATATGTAAAAAACAAAAAACGATTTTCAATTTTTTTGTAGTTTATTGCACTTGTTTGCAATTAATGTAGTTACTATGGACTTAATGCATACATATTATTAAAATATGGGCTATAACAGTTGTATTGATGTATAGCAACTTGAAATGCTCCCACAAATGGCACTACAGCATGTAAAAAAAATAATATAAGCTCTGGCGGACTTGGTTCTATGGCAGGTCTTAAAGGGTTAAATAAATATCGTCAAATAATCGTGATCTCAATTTCAGTGAAAATAATCGTGATTATCATTTTTGCCATAATCGAGCAGCCCTATTTTCGTCTAACATTAAATTTGTTAGATGATCTGAAACATTCACGTGTGACAAACATACAGTAAATCAGGTAGGGGGCTAACACTTTTTCACACCACCGTAGTCGATCGCTGGTCAATAGACAACACGGACATGTGCTGTAATGCTAATGACTGGGCTGTCTTACCTGTCTGTGAAAGCTGCCCTTAAAATTGTTGATTTATGTGTTGTGTTTATTTATTCATTGTCACTCTTAAAAAGCTTCCACCAGTTGTTAATAATTTCTTGATTGCATAGTGTAAAAAATATTACTCTGTGGGGATGGAGAGCAGCTGGCCTGCTCATTAAGACAGGCTTGAACATAATGACTCCATCATAATTATGACTGCAGTATCTGGTCTTTAAGTGATGACATATCAACCCTGCTTCAGTCTTTGTTAAGGCTGTGGTGTTTTTAACATGTTTTCATGTTTTGTATCTTTCAGTGGTTCCCAAACTTTTTTTGCTGGGCCCCCTTTGTTTTACAAGAAAAATGTTCGCGCCCCCCCTCCCCACGTGCACACACGCACTAACACATTCTCCAATCACACGCCCATATTTTGCTCCATTGCAGTTTATTTCACACCTCAAACATTCAGTAAACAATTAAGCAAATACAAGTAATCTGCAGGTAGTAATAAAATAAACTACTAACTCTGTCACGCTGCGTCCGCACCTACACGGGTATTTTTGAAATCGCAGCTGTTTCGCCCACACTTAAACGGCGTTTCGAGTCACCGAAAACGGAGATTTTTTAAAACCCCTTTTTTGCGTTTACGTGTGGACGAGGAATACAGAGTTCGTCACGCAACGCCAAAGGTATGTGTTTTGTTCCACGTCACACTGTGGCCACGTTATTGTTTACATGAGATGAACTGCAGAATGATAGAGACGAAATACTGTTAATCTGACTGTCTGCAGGTTTTACAGGCTTACATACAGTTACTGTCCCTCCATTTACAAAGGCAGAGGCGTCACCGTGTGATTATTTTACGTGTAGTTGTGTTTTTTCCTGTGTAACAATATTCAACATCAATACATTTTTCAAAAAATGCCTCTCTGTGCAAAATGGGTTTAAAAATATAAACAGCTGTGGGATCCTGTTTGTTTGAACCGAGGGAACAAATCGTGGCAGGATCAGCCTGATGTTATTTGTATCCCGCTGTAACTTTACTGTATAAAGAGCAAACATCTCCAACATGTCAGGAGTAGTTAGTCATTACAACAAGTGTTTGTGAACTAAAGATCAAGAATGTGGGATCCTGTTTGTCCGTGATTTGAAGAGCCCAGCGCTGCTCCCGACGCAGGGAAAACCAATCCTGGTGAAGCCAAAGGGAAGATTTGCTTCACCATATTTTCTAGTCTTTGGTTTGGAAACATATTCAGCGACGCTTCATCTCCTGCTTTGCGTTTCTGTAGGCGCCCCATCAAAAACCTGTCCATGATGCTAGCAGTGTCCAAGTGTTCTTTTTTTCTTTTCATACCGCGCCCCCCCTGCAATGGCTCTGCCCCCCCACACACACACACACTTTGGGAACCTGTGGTTTATGTTACGCTAACATAGCTGTGTAGCTGTGTAGCTAGCGGTCACGTAGCACATCATTATATAGCAGCTAGCCAAACTTCAGTAACCCTACAAACTGCTGTTTAGTTTTCTGTCTTCATTTATGTTGGAAGTGATAACAGAGCTGTACGTTTTAATTGTTTCAGAAATCTCTCAGTAAGAACATGCTACGTCATGTCTAGGTGCAAACTAGTGAGCTAACTTCCTGCTAACTTTATTTTATTTTAACTTATTCTGTGTATCATTTCTGGCATGTCAAGTGTACACTACTTGGTGTTCAGCTGGGAGTTGTTCTGAAAGTGCTATATAAATAAATTGTTTGCTTGCTAACTTCTAACTCCGTTAAATGTAATAACTTCTGTGTTCATGGATGCCCGGATGTTAAACTTAATTGTTACACCTGGTAAAGCAGCAACACTGATGATTAAAGATGAATTTAAACAGTGTTTAACTCTCAGTGATGCCACAGTGTTCGTTTGACTTTGGGAGCTGAAGCAGAGTTTGGACACAGAAACGGCTGATGAAGTCAGACTTAAAGACCGGATAAAGCAGCCACACTGCTCCCCCTGGTGGATACACAAGGTACCCAAACTCTTAGGGTGGGGTTGTTGACAGTATCTCCCCCCTGATCTGTCCTGACACCCCCTGCCACACACCTACCTTGATGCCAGCATTCCAGAGCTCAGAGATGAGTTGCAGTCTCTCCTCCAGCAGGTTCTTCTGAGCAGATGCCACCATGATCTGAACTTCTGTGGTGCGCACCTTCTCCGGTGAGGCCTGAACAATAAAACCATGTCACTGTTGAACTTGTGCATCATTCACAGAACAGTAAAGCTGCTCCAGCTTAAATTTTATTTCACAGATATCAGGCGAGACATTACCTCAGCCTTCTGCTCCATGATGGAGAAGATCCTTTCGATACCTATGCTGACACCCACACAGGGGACTCTCCTCCCCTTGGGGTCGAACATGCCCACCAGGCCATCGTATCGGCCCCCTCCCGCCACGCTGCCCACGCTCACACTCTCTTCTGCATTGGCGCCGTTTTGAGCTTCATTAGCGGCTGAGACTGCGCTTGCCTGAGTCAGCACGGCTTCATAGATCACTCCAGTGTAATAGTCCAGACCCCGGGCCAGACTAAGGTCAAACACCACCTAGAGAAGGCAGAATTTCAAAGTCCGTATCCAGGCAGGGAAGAATGAAGAACGGAAAAACAAAGAAAAACAACAGAGAGACGAAACAAAAGCCCCTTTTCCATTTACCTGCTCGGATTCACTTGCCAAGGTTCACTCAACTCGGATCGACTGGTTTTCACTTACAATCGAGTACCACCTAAAGTGCGTGATTGTTGCTATAGCAACATGGCCGAGCGTCCCGTGACATAATTAGTATGCTAATGGTACCAGGTACCATGACCTAATGGAAAACCCTGAAAACCAGTAAGGGTGTGCTAGTTTTTCACAGGGTTGCATGACCAGTATAAAACCTTTTTTGTCCACATGGAAACCAGATCATTGCTATAGAGCACGCATACTGGAATCCTATACCAGAGAAATCCAAGATCAGTTTCTCACCTTGTCTGTGACATGGAAGAGCTGTAGGTACTTGAAGAGCAGTTTGATGTCTGAGAGGCCAGCGCAGGCCTGCTTACTCTGAGACATTTTATGGTCCTGAAGGAGGCGCTCAGCCAGGTCCATTCCACCTGCATTACATCCAGCACAGTCAGTCTGTGTGTTGCACAAGCGATTCCCTTGGCATGCTCTATTTCATCATTGTGGTGGTACAAGATAAAATGTTTAATGTTGTGTTTCTGAGTCTGTGGGAGTGCAGCATAAGCTTGGACCACATTTTATTTGATGCTGAAGAAAAAGAGCTAAAAAATGCCTCCGCTGAACAGCTGACAGTTCAGGTCACGCTGATTGTTCTACAGACATCAGCTGTGTGGATGTTGGGCACAGTCTCACCCTGCATGCTGACGTACTCCCCAATCTGGTCGGCAGCCTCCTCTGACAGGCCCTTCTCATTCACCATCTCTTTCTTCACGTCCTCCCAGGACATCTAGAGGAGGACACGGGTAAGGATTTCAATTCAACTTTATTTATATAGCGCCAAACCACAACAACACGGTGCTTTATAGTGTAACATAAAGACCCAACAATAATGCAGAAAAAAACCAACATGAAGATGACCCTGTGTGAGCACTTGGTGACAGAAGAAGGAAAAACTCCCTTTTAACCAGGCTCAGGTAGTCCATCTCTCGGGTAGTCCATCTCTCGGGTAGTCCATCTCTCGGGTAGTCCATCTCTCGGGTAGTCCATCTCTCGGGTAGTCCATCTCTCGGGTAGTCCATCTCCTGTGACCGGTTGTGTGTTTGACTAATGACTAATGTCAGAGTGGTGCATAAACACACGGTGAGTAAAAAGAGGTGAGAGATGGAGAAACGCTCAGCAGCCTTGTAACGAATGACCGTGAGCAGCAGGGCTGCAATCATTGCAGGCATAGACGGGACTACAGCACAGTCCACGTTTGTTATATTTACCAACATAACATGGCAGCTCTGTGGAGCACTAGTTATACCCATCTGCTGATAAGCCACACCCTCATCATAACCTGCCAAGCACCGAAGCACTGAGCCTTGTATTTAAAGACGGTTCAACACAGAGCTCTTTGGTGACACCTGGTGCCAAAAATATGACGAGCAGCTTGAATCTACAACTTGAAGTGAAGTGCTGCATTACGATTGGCCACTCAGAGCTGAAATGACAGCTTCTGTTTAACATGATAATGTGACAGTTCAGTCTGACATCGGGCTGATGTGGTGCTTTTTACCTTCCTCATGTAACCATGCACCATGGTGTGTTCTCCCTCTGCTTGGGACTTCTTGATGTTTTGTATTAATATATAGTGTTTGTTTTTTTTAATTAAGTACAACACGATGTTACAATAGGTTGGGAGTATGCTTGTGCAGTGAAGTCCCTGCCTCCATGTGATAGTTTAGATATACTGCAGCTGTGTTTTCTTACAAATTATAACTCTCATTATGTCGCACACTAGTTCGCTATCTGTCGCAAAAAAAAAATCACCAATGATTCAATTCGTTATGTCTGTGAAGGTTCTCAGTCATCCAGGTCATCGTAGTCAAAGGAGCTTGCAAAGAAAAGCGTCTGGACTTCTTTAAGTTGCTTGAAGACGTTTCACCTCTCATCCGAGAAGCTTCTTCAGTTCTAAGGTCAAATGGTGGAGAGTCCCAGATATAAACCTAGTGGGAGTTTCCCCCCACAGAGGGACAAAAGGACCCCTGATGATCCTCTAATCGCCTGAGCCAAGGTGTAAACTGGGTGTGGGTCCCAATCAGCCAGAGTTTCGGGTGTGTTCATTGTGAAACCTGGCCCCACCTTATCATGCAAATTCCTGAGGTCAGATGGCCCAGGATGTGAGTGGGCGTTAAGGCGTCTGGGAAGGGATCTCAAAACTGGATTATAGATGGCAGAGAGTTGGTGTCGTAAACCCCGCCTCTGTTCAAAGATGGTCGCTCACAGTGGACATAGATGCTTCTTTCACTCCTCTTTCAAACCATCTGTCCTCTCTGTCCAAAATGTGAACATTGGCATCCTCAAAGAGTGACCTTTATCCTTAAGATGCAGATGGACTACTGAGTCTTGTCCTGTGGAGGTGGCTCTTCTGTGTTGTGCCATGCGCTTGTGAAGTGGCTGTTTGGTCTCTCCAATGTAGAGGTCTGAGCATTCCTCGCTGCACTGTACAGTATACACCACATTGTTAAGTCTGTGTTTTGGCGTTTTGTCTTTCGGGTGAACCAGTTTCTGTCTGAGTGTGTTGCTGGGTCTGAAATACACTGGGATGTCATGCTTGGAGAAAACTCTGAGTGTCTCTGATACACCGGCTACATAGGGGATGACAATGTTGTTGCGTCTGTCCTTCTTATCCTCCCTTCAATTCGTCATTAACCACTGAATCGGGGGTTTGACAAATGAAGCTTCAGATGTCATCAATCACGTGACTCTTTTCAGACGACCCTCGCCTCGGCACAGGGCTTCTGAAGCAGTGTGTTCGTTTTTTGGGCACGCACTGGAGCTTCAGCTTCAGACGGGACATCACTGCTACTTGTACTTAAAATCAGCACCCACAGTTCAAAATAATTGCACAAATGCAAACACACTTATCTAAACCGTGATAATCAATGACATTTGTGTGAATGGGTGGATGACTGTAAAGCGCTATAGAAATACAGGCCATTTACCATTTGTGGCTAATATCTCTTCATCTTACAGCATCTATTTCATCATACACTGAGGAGCTGCTCAAGTGCATGGAAGACAGGATTATAAATCATTAAAATGCTCTAATCAGTAAATATTTGAGTTCTTGGTAAATAAATGGTAAATGGACCGGTTCTTATATAGCACTATTCTACTGACCGAGCACTCAAAGGGCTTTAAAGTGGCTGAAGAAGAATCTTTCTTGATGTGCAAATGTTTTCCTAAGTGAAGTTAGATGGTTGCAAAGACATCTGTCAAGAACATCCTAAGAATATAATCCACCCACTGTTATCATCTTCAGTGCCCTGTACCAACACAGAGCAGAGCAGCTATCTGAACGCTGCTCCAGAGGTCGATCATCTTGTTAATAATTTCACCTCCTCACTACGTACGACTCTGGATACTGTAGCTCCTGTGAAAACTAAGGTCTCTAATCAGAAGTACCTGACTCCGTGATATAATTCTCAAACACGTAGCCTAAAGCAGATGACTCGTAATCTGGAGAGGAAATGACGTGTCACAAATTTAGAGGATCATCATTTAGCCTGGAGAAATAGTTTGCTGCTTTATAAGAAAGCCCTCCGCAAAGCCAGAACATCTTACTATTCATCACTGACTGAAGAAAATAAGAACAACCCCAGGTTTCTCTTCAGCACTGTAGCCAGGCTGACAAACAGTCAGAGCTCTGTTGAGCCAACCATCCCTTTAATGTTAACTAGTAATGACTTCATGAACTTCTTCACAAATAAAATTCTTATCATTAGAGAAAAAATTACCAATAATCATCCCACAGATGTAATATTATCTACAGTTACTCTTAGTACCATTGATGTTAAGTTAGACTCTTTTTCTCCAATTGATCTTTCTGAGTTAACTTCAATAATTACTTCCTCCAAGCCATCAACGTGTCTTTTAGACCCCATTCCTACAAAACTGCTCAAAGAAGTCCTGCCATTAATTAATTCTTCGATCTTAAATATGATCAACCTATCTCTAATGATCAGCTATGCACCACAGGCCTTCAAGCTGGCTGTAGTTAAACCTTTACTCAAAAAGCATCTCTAGACCCAGCAGTCTTAGCTAATTATAGGCCAATCTCCAACCTTCCTTTCATATCAAACATCCTTGAAAGAGTAGCTGTCAAACAGCTAACAGATCATCTGCAGAGGTTTATTTGAAGAGTTTCAGTCAGGTTTCAGAGCTCATCACAGCACAGAAACAGCTTTAGTGAAGGTTACAAATGATCTTCTTATGGCCTCTGACAGTGGACTCATCTCTGTGCTTGTCCTGCTAGACCTCAGTGCAGCGTTCGATACTGTCGACCATAATATCCTATTAGAGCGATTAGAACATGCTGTAGGTATTACAGGTACTGTGCTGCAGTGGTTTGTATCATATCTATCTAATAGACTCCAGTTTGTGCATGTAAATGGAGAGTCCTCTTCACACACTGAGGTTCATCCATCCTGATCCAGTCCAATCCTGTTTTGTAAGTGATTTCCGATCTGGACCTACTCTTCTGAGCCTGTGGTACATCTGAGGCGGATCTGATCCAGAGTCACATCTGATTAATCTCACTTCTTATTTCTTGTTGAGCAGCTGCACATAACATTTTCATGCAAATGGCATCAACATAGCAGCTCTCCAAGGAGACGCTTACAGTGCTGTTAGATTACATCAGAGGTGTCACAAATAAAAATGCCATTCCTTTTTACCTCCACAATACTGGTTTCTGAATATTGACAACTGACAACATTCTCATAAGTACGAGGGTCAGGAGAACTGAGTATAGTGATTAGAAGAGTTGGATGTTCACTGCAGTAAGCCTCAGTACCTTGTCCAGTTTATCCACCGTTGAACAGATGGTTCGGAACTTGTCATCTGGAACGCCACACACCGCAAACATTCCATCAAGGATGCGTCGGTCGTTCACCTGCATGTAGAAGATGTGGTTAGAGAGACTCACTCACCACGGCAGCACTCAGCTCAACTAAGTGACAAACCTTAATACGAAAGTCTCCGAGGTCCAGCTCGTTGAGGATCTCATGTACAATCTTTAGACACTCAGCATCTGGGATCATGGCGTCGTATTGCCCTGCTATGTCAAAATCCTGAAACGCAAACACAAACACACATGTTAACCTTGTCACTTCTAAGTCAGTCATCAGTGGTGACGAGCAGCAGATGTCAGTGTAAACTGAAATAGTCAATAGATAAAATACATAAAAATGTATTGTGCAAAGTGTTGCATCATCTACAAAGACTGTACGACAGCTTTGATGCTCTGGCGTCATATGTCAGCAGGGTGACCTGGAAGGTGAGATTTAATACAGCGATCTGGAAGGAGCCAGTGCTGAGGATGATGCAGGAGGAAGAGATGTTGTGGATTTTGCTGGTTAAGAAGTCCAGGACCAAATTGTAGAGGAGGAAGCTCAGGTTGAGACTTTTTGCACCCGAGTCTGAGCCAGGAACAATCTGCAAAAACGTTTTTTCCTGTAGCCCACAGTGACATTGATGGAATCCTTTATGTGGGCCTCGACGACCCTTCTGAAGCACTCCATGGCGATCAGGGAAAGGAGTGTGGACAGCATTTAACAGTCACATTTTTTTATTGCATCAGAGCAGTGACCGTTTACCAAAGTACACCAACCACCTGCTACTCCTCAACAATAGTTTTCAACATCTGTAGCCTCGGGTAGCTAGCTGTCACTACCCGATCCATACCGGAAACCCGATCGGTACCCCGCATGCGCGAAAGGTGTCTACTTCCGGTTGAAGCGCTTTACGATAGTTACGGGTCAGAGTATCTGTTAAGATGTTAAGAATAATAAGTATCTCTTAAAATGTTTCCCATAATGAAACATTTCAATATAATGTAGACGAAAACGAAAAATAAAAAGATAGTTACGGATCAGGACTCTCCGATCCGTACCGCGCATGTGCAGGGGTTTTCGTCTTCTTCTCTTCGTTTAATGGCAGTTTACTCCCCAGTGTACGAGGATACTGCCACCTGCTGACTGAGCGAATAAACCCTATTGTAAACTGAATTAGCATCATTACAAACGTGTGTTAAATTTGATTTAGTGACAGTCGAGTGTGTTTATGCTTGTCTGTGTGGAGAGGATTGTTGGAATAATGATGATGATGTGCGCTATCACTGTCAGTTGTCAGTAAACACTTCATCTGGCTGCTGAATCTTCACGTGACACATTACAAAGTCTGTATTATTAACTCTGTAATTAGGCGCCATTCTTCTTATTTTACGGCGCTGTTGTTCAATCGGGGGACGCTCTCTGTTGAGGAGAAAAGCATGAATTTGTTTGCATACGGATTATCCATTGTTTAAATGTCCCGGTAGTCGAAAAGGAGGCAGAGCTGTTGAGAAATGCTAGGAGCTAACTGGGCGCTAACCGTGTCATTCAAATATATTGAATGTCGCAATGTTGGCAAAGAGAGGAAGTGACGTAAGATTTGCGCATGCGGGGTACGGATCGGGTTTCCGGTACGGATCGGGTAGTGACACTAGCTGTAGCCTCGGGTAGCTAGCTGTAGCCTCGGGTAGCTAGCTGTAGCTTCGGGTAGCTAGCTGTAGCTTCGGGTAGCTAGCTGTAGCTTCGGGTAGCTAGCTGTAGCCTCGGGTAGCTAGCTGTAGCTTCGGGTAGCTAGCTGTAGCCTCGGGTAGCTAGCTGTAGCCTCGGGTAGCTAGCTGTAGCTTCGGGTAGCTAGCTGTAGCCTCGGGTAGCTAGTGGACTTTGAATCCTAGCAGTGAAAGGTAGTGCTACTTTTCTGGAGGTTTTGCTGCATATTGGGCAGTTTCTACATTAAGCGCTGTTGCTAATGAGTGTTGAACGCGTGAATGCTTCCTGTTGGTGATGCTGGCAGTGCCTTATTAGTAAAGTGTTGCTACGATACTTTGGAGTAAAAGCATTGCTACCAAACACCCGGACTACCTACAGGACTGTATTGCTACTGCTTGTGAGCTACTATACACTGGCATGTAGGGAACAGAGCGTTCTGCACTAAAATTCATGGACAGTGTCAGTTTAGCACAAACAGCAGGGCTGTCAACGGCTTCTGCTTGAATCAAGATTATATAGGGGACCCCTCGCCCCTCCTCACACAGGCATCACTGAGCCAGCCTATAGGGAGCTGTGATATTTGACCTTCTGATGAGGTCAGAGTAGATATTCCCATAGTGAGACAAAATTAATGCTATGAAAAAGAACTCAGTCCATGCCATCTGCAGTTGACTTACACACTGATAAAACTCTCTGTAACGTCCCCGGGTCATGGCTGGGTTGTCACGACGATAGACCTTAGCAATGTGATAACGCTTGATGTTGGTTATCTTGTTCATGGCCAGGTAGCGGGCAAATGGTACCTGAAAGAGGGCGGGTCAAGAATAACAACACCACAGAGTAACAATGTATTGCTACTTTCATGACAATGTAACCTTTTCACAAGCTGCACTTGGTTAATAAGAAGCCCCGTTCATTTAACTGCGTATTCTGACTCTGTTGAATGCTCAGTCTAAAGTACCACCACTCTTTTAATCCTTTCTAACATTTTTGTGGAAATGCATGAATGAGAACAGTACAGTTGGCTGTGTCTATTTAAAGGATACAGTGAGGTCATATCTGAGGGACAGCAGCTCTCCTCCTTGGTCTTTGAGATCGTAGATGAGCTTGGAATCTTCTCCATATTTCCCCGTCAATGTTTCCTGTGCAAACAGACAAATAGGTCACTTCCGTGCAATGTGTTCCACATTCCTGCAAATCAATTGCGTGCTGTGTGGTCAAATGTTTTTGAATGTTGAAGGCATTTCACCTCCTTGTGATCAGTGTGTCAAAAATAATGTCTCACACAGAATATGTGATATATAATTCTCATAATTAACATTTAACAATATAAACCTATAGGCTACACACCAACACAAATCCTAGCTAACAACAGGTATAAACACAAAGTCAACAGCACAAAGCTTTAAAGCAATCGAGGAACTTGACTTCCGGTTGCGCCGTAAGATGGCGGCCGAGAGCTCCCAGTCATCTCAGCAAAAATGTTATTATTTATTTTGTACTGCTTTCTATTTCTGTGCGCACAGCGCGATCATATACGCGGTATGACGGACAAACGCTTTTGGAGCAATGTTCGTCAGCCAGTTCGGACTTTACAGCAGGTTTCGACACCGTGGATGCCTGGGATCCTTCGTTTACTTGCGCGACGCCGTGGGAAAACAAAGAATGGGAAACGCGCCAGAGTTTTGAGCCGATCCCGACAGAGAAACGGCAAGCCAACTCTGCCCAGCATCCTGCTCGCAAATCTCCAGTCTCTGGACAACAAACTTGACGAGCTGCCTGCACGGATTAAACACCCAAAAGACATCAGGAACTGCTGCGTTCTGGCCTTCACGGAGACATGGCTGGAGCCCAGCGTCCCCGACCGCACCGTCACGCTGAATGGATTCACTGTTTACCGGGGAGACCGAACGAAGGACTCAAGCAAGAAAAGGGGAGGAGGGGTGTGCTTTATGGTTAACTCTATGTGGGATAGAGATGTGTGTATCTTAAAAACTTACTGCTCTCAGAGCCTCGAGCTGCTGAGCATTAAAGTCAGGCCTTTTTACCTCCCGAGGGAGATCAGCTCAGTTCTCCTCTCAGCTGTTTACATTCCCCCACACGCTGATAAAGCTTCGGCTGTGGACGAACTGTATGACATCATTATTGGACCTGAGAATTAAAATCCTGACGCTGCCTTTATTGAGCTGGGAGACCCAGCTTTTGGTAAGGCAGACCATTGTTCCTGCTGCTGCTGCCTGCATACAGACAAAGGCTGAAACAGGTAAAACCAGCGTCCAGGGTCATCTACAAACGGGACAGTGAGGCTGAGGAGGTCCTGCAGGACTGCTTTGAGACAACTGACTGGCAGATATTTGTGGATGCAGCTGATGGCAACATCAATGAACTCACAGGGCAGGGATAGCTCAGTAGGTAGAGTGGTGGCCCCATGATCGGAAGGTCGGGGGTTCGACTCCACTGAACGGCTACCCTGAGGTACCCCTGAGCAAGGTGCCGTCCCTACACACTGCTCCCCGGGCGCTGCATTGGTGGCTGCCCACTGCTTCACTGGGTGAATGGGTTAAATGCAGAGGAACTATTTCCCTATGGGGACTAACACGCACACTTTACACTTTACACAGACTCTGTCATTGGATATATTGGAAAATGCATGAACGATACCATCACTAAAACCACCGTCCGCATATATCCAAATTCCGGGGAATTTGGACGAGAAGTTGTTAAGCTGCAGACGAGCTTAACAACTTCTATGCTCGTTTTGATGCAGAGAACAGAGAGCAGATCCTCTACCCTCATGAGGACAGTGAGGCTGTAACTAACTCTCAAAACAGAAGCTGTAAGATGGTCTTTCAAAAGGGTCAATCCTCACAAAGCTCCGGGACCGGACGGCATCCCAGGCCGGCCTCTCAGAGTGTGCGCCGACCAGCTGGCAGAGGTGTTCACCAACATCTTCAACCTCTCCCTGAGGCACTCAGTGGTCCCCACGTCCCTCAAAACATCCACCATCATTCCCGTTCCTAAGAAATCTGTGGTCTCCTGTCTGAATGAGTACAGTCCTGTTGCACTGACATCCATCATCATGAAGTGGCTCGAGCGGCTGGTCAAAGGTCATATCTGCTCCTCCCTCCCTGACATACTGGGCCCTCTTCAGTTCTCCTATCGGACAAACAGAACCACAGAGGATGCCATCGCCCTGGCAATGCACACCTCCCTCACTCACCTGGAAAAAGGGAATACATATGCAAGAATGCTCTTCATCGACTACAGCTAGGTAGGGCTGCCACGATTAGTCGACTAGTCACGATTACGTCGACTATCAGAATCGTCGACGACCAATTTGATAGTCGACGCGTCGTTTGAAGCTTTGTTAGATCCCAAAAGACGCAGGAATAAGTAGCAGGATTTAAGAGTGTAATAACGGACTGAAACAGAAGATGGCAGCACTGCATGTACAAGGATGTCAGCTGCCGTTAAACCCCGAAGAAGAAGAAGTAGCTGTGTCCCAAAATTCATAGCACCGCCCTGCTTAGTTTCCAACAATGGCGGCAGCTAGTTAGTTTTAATGTTACTCTTATTATTCTTTCTGGGTCACAAAATAAACGTTTAACATATTTTCAGGCGAGAATGTAGCTGTGTAAACCTCAAATATCTGCTCAGTTTATCAGGACACCGCATATTTTCAAAAGCGCTCCGACGTTTTCGGCGACGTCTGTTACCCACTAGCTCGATAGCGAGCCGGGGGCAAGGCTAACTAGAGCCGTGAGAACACCGGACTCCCGGCAAATCGTTTTCAAACCCACCGCCGTCTTTCGCTACTCAGGTTAAATATATATGAGTCACTTAGATAACCTAAACATGTTATTGTTTGGCTTTTTTCAGTATTTTACTTGTTCCTGAGTAAATCGGTTTGGCTGAGATTAAAGTTTTTACACAGCTGAATAAACGTCAAGCAGACAGCTGATTATCAGAAGTGTGAGATGCTGGAGAATATACTCCGGTGTCCTGTTATATTTTAGATAGCAAGGAGTTTATTAAACTTCACCGAAACAATCTGCAAATTTCATTACAATTTAATAAACTATCATCTTTTCTTTATTTTTAGTTAGCACCTTAAACACTTCAAGCTGTAAGCTAATGATAGTTATATAAGAGCAGATGCTGCTGGTGCAATAAGTTGTAGGTTTTATGCTCAATGGATGCATGCTCTGATTAGTCAACTAATCGCAAAAATAATCGGTGACTAGTCGACTATCAAAATAATCGTTTGTGGCAGCCCTACAGCTCAGCATTTAACACCATCATCCCCTCAAAACTTGCCTCGTAGCTCGTCGACCTTGGGCTGGGAACACCGATCTGCAGATGGATTCTAAACTTCCTCACAAACACGCCCCAGGTGGTGAGAGTTGGTAAGCACACCTCCTCATCACTCATCCTAAACACAGGAACGCCACAGGGTTGTGTGCTTAGCCCCCTCCTTTATTCCCTGTTCACACACAACTGTGTTGCTAAACATGAGTCCAACACCATCATCAAGTTTGCAGATGACACAACGATCATAGGCCTCATCACAGACAACGATGAGACGGCCTATAGAGAGGAGGTGATGGCGCTGTACGAGTGGTGTCTGGAAAATAACCTGACTCTCAACATCAGCAAAACTAGAGAGATGATAGTGGACTACCGGAAACGACCAGTCAGGGAAGACCAGCCCATCCACATCAACGGTGTCAAGGTCAAAAGGGTCAGCAGCTTCAAATTCCTTGGAGTCAACATCACCGAGGATTTCTCCTGGACCCTTCACACAGACGCTGCTATCAGGAAAGCTCGCCAGCGACTCTACTTCCTGAGGAGGCTGAGGAAGTTTGACATGAACGCGAATATCACCTCAAATTTCTACAGGTGTGCAGTCGAGAGCTTACTGACGAGCTGCATCACAGTTTGGTACGGAAGCTGCTCTGCCAGCAGCCGGAAATCACTACAGAGGGTGGTGAAGGCAGCAGAGCACATCACTGGCACGAGGCTTCCTGCCATTCAGGACATTTATCTTCAACGGTGCCTCCGCAAAGCACACAGCATCATCAAGGACCACAGCCACCCAGCACATCAGCTCTTCTCCTTGTTACCATCTGGCAGACGTTACAGGAGTCTGTCTGCTCGGACTACAAGACTCAAAAACAGTTTTTACCACTAAGCCATACGACACCTCAACCACAACACTTAAACACACACAACACAGTCCACAGGACGCACTCAGAAGCTACCCTGCAGCTTCACAAGTACTCTGCACAATCTGCACTGGTCACTCCACTTTATTGGTATTTATATTAGGCAGAAAATGTGCAATACTGTACCAACTGTTCAGTCTGTACTGCTGCTCATTCCTGCCACTGTGCAATATCCCCCCCGTCACATTCCTATTTAAGATTTTTTTTATTTAATCACTAGTGTGTACATATATTTATATATTTATTAGGGGTGCAACAATACTCGTATCGATATTGAACCATTCGATACAGTGCTTTCGGTTCGGTACGCATATGTATCAAACAATACAAAAATTTTATTTATTTTATCAACTTTCCTTCTGACGATGCTGTCTGTGTTGAGCGCTCAGTGGATCTGCGCTCGACAGTGCAGCCTAGGCGGAGTAGTCGAACGCAGATTCCCTGAGCGCAGGGCAAGCTAGCGAGACAGAAGTTAAGCTCTCCTTGCAACATGGCAAATTGAACCTCCCCCACCCTCATTCAGATCTGGCCTTTGGAATTATTTTGGTTTTCATGTGACGTATGAAGGTAAGCGCGTCATGGACTAAAGTAAAACAGTATGTTGGATGTGCCACGCAATGCTCAATTACATTGGTGGGAGCTAGTGTGTTAGCGCAGTTAGCTCGTTAACGTGTTGACGCCGTCCAGCCCCACGCACGGGTCTATCCGCAGTAGCTCGTTAACGGAGATTTGCCGTGTTGTGGCGTTAACGTCATTTCAGATTAACGCTGACAGCACTAGTGGGAACACAACGAATATGACTGCACATTTATTCCGACATCATCCTAGTGCAATGACAAGTGGAAGCAGACAAAAACAACAAGCACGCATGCTACAAACTTTACCCGAGTCATTTAGACAGCCATTAGCACATGATTCTCCTTATGGGGACTTGATATGTTTAATATGCTGCTGAGAATATAGCCCAGAAGAAGCGTATAGTAGAGCTTTTATTTTGAAAGAGCCATTTCTCTGTAATAAACTCTCTTTTCCAAAGATGAGTGATTTCTCCGTCAGATTTATTTTTTTATTTTTTTATTATTTTGTTGTTTCAGCAACATTAAATTTTAAAACTGTACTTTTGAGTTAAAATATATATTTATAATTTTAATAAATGACAAATTAAAAAAGCATGAACATTTTTTTTTGTATCGAAAAAATATCGAACCGTGACACCAAAGTATCGAACCGAACCGTGAATTTTGTGTATCGTTGCACCCCAATATATACATATTTAGTCTGTTAACTGTTAATCTTTTTTCTTTTACTATATTTTATTAATATTTTGCTCTTAACCATTTTTTTTCTACTGTACCATTCTGCTGAGTGACTGTCTTCTGCTCGTCAAATACATGTCATTGCAATGTTGACCCTGTGCTAACTTGCATATGACAAATAAAACTGAAAACTGATTAGCACACTGTCTGTATCCGGCCTTTAAGCCTGACGTCATTAGCTGTGTCTGGGCCCAAAGTCAAACGAACACTGCGGCATCACTGAGAGTAAAACTCTTAATATCCAGTTTAACAATAGCCTTAAGTTTAACATCCAGGCATCCATGAAAACAGAATTTAATACATTTAACGGAGTTAGAAGTTAGCAGGAAGTTAGCTCGCTACTTACCACCTAAACATGATGTAGCATGTTCTGACTGAGGGATTTCTGACAAAATTCAAACGTACAGCTCTGCTGTCACTTCCAACATAAATGAAAGTAAACAGCAGTGACACTTGTAGGGTTACTGAAGTTGGGCTAGCTGGTATATAACGATGTCCTACGTGGTGGCTAGCGACACAGCTATGTTAGCGTAACATAAACAGTGAAGCTGGAGGATGAACGTTAACTTTTTTCCACTCGATAAAAGTTAACTTGAGGGTTCCCGATGGTTTTAAAAGCTGAGCTTTAAAATGAATAGCGGTAATAAAAACCGAGAGAGGCCGACAGTGATCACTGACTGTTTTTAGGGGCTTTTGAGATTAAATAGAACAAGATACAAAGCATTAAAACATGTTAAAAACACAAAAGCGTCATTAAACACAGGGTAGTTTGGGCCCGGAAGCAGGATTCATCATGTCATCACTTAAAGACCGGATAGGTGCTTGCAAAGAGCCGAAGTTGTGTTAGCGGCACAACTTCGTTATTTAGCAGTTAGCTGTTGTTTCGGTCCTGAATGCAGTTTGCACTTCACCATTGCGCTCTGGTTCTTTTGTGCAATAAAAATGAAAGTAGTCAGCTAATTGTAGCATAAGTACGAGTGGAACCGATAAGCGGGATTGAGAGTCTGGCAGACTAACAATTCCAAGGAATTGAACTACTGGGAACCGGTTTGCTAAAAGAACTAATACCCGATTCCCATTCCTATTTTTCAAGCAGCAAACTTGTTAAACTAAGTCAAACTCTACCTTTAGTTCAAAAACAGGTGTGTCGATGGTCTCGGCTCCATGTCGTTTAAAGCAGCGGATGATGGTGTTGAAGACTTTTTCTCTGATGGCCATCTGTTTGGGGTTGTAGTCTCTCGTTCCCTGACAAACACACATTGTCAATCAAATAATTCTATTGTGAGAATATGTATGCACTTGTTGTTTGTTGTCATTTTTTTGTTCAGCATCCTCTTTGTAACAGATTTCACCGTGCGGTAACCAGTAACCACTCAGCCTACCAGAGGTTGTAAATGGTCGCTGTCCTAGGCCTGGGTGACTGAATCCATGTAACTTTTTACATTAAAAAGAAATCTAACTTAGAGCCACTGGGGTTGTAACACACCATTGGAAAGCTTACCATACAGACATTTTCTGGTCCTCTAGAAGAGATGTGATTGATTAAAGGATAAGCAGATATCCACATAAAGCATCATGTACTTTGATGACACAATTTGGGGTAGTCTGATCCTTGCATTTTTGACTACCGACACTAAAGTTTGATTCGTTAAACCCACTCTTATGAAGGGGTTCTTTGATCTGATCTTTGGTAACAAGCTATCTAGAGCTATTATATTTTTTTAATTATAATGCAGCCACTTGGTGCCAATGATCTCACAGACAGGCTTCTCTGTAACCAAAGCTACGCCTGCTTCTACTTACAACAAGCTTTTAATCAAATGGTATGTGCCCGAATATAAAGGTAGCGGGTACTTTGCCATTGAGAGCTCCTTTTATTCCACCAAGTCCTGCTGAGATAGTAAGATAAGCTTTACACATGTGACATAAAGTTAAATGGTTGTGTTTGTCTTGTCCTAATACAGACGATACCAGGCCTGTGCCACAGAATATTCTGTAAATATAAACGTGTATTTCCTTAAATACAACAGTACTTTAATCTTACCTTTGGTGTTTTAAGGACAAATTGGGTTTTGCCATCATCTCCTAACTGAGCCTTTAGTGCCAGCAGTTTAGCTACCTCTTCATCAATCTGCATGAGAACACAGAACAAAATATAAAGTGTTCAGAGGTTTTATACTGTATTTAACAACTGTAGCGTGAAAAATTATGAATACATCTTGTCAAATAAACACATGGACAGCAGCCTACCTGAGCCATAGTGATCCCAGGGAAAGAGTGAAGAGATCGGACACATGTGGGAGCCCGAAAGCCCACCAGAGCGGAGCAGGCACGAACCCAGATCATGCCCAGCATGGTTATTCCACAGTGCAGGAAAATGGTATGGATTTCAAAAAAAAAAAAAAAAAGTAAAGTAGGACCAAAAAAAGATCAGAGTGCATCAAGAGTGCAGCATAATCCAGTGGTGTTGTACAGAGCCAGCCGCAGCAGCCAGTCAGGAGGGTTGGGTTAACCAGACGGTGAAGTAGATGGTGGAGATGATGAATCGTGTGACAGGCCAAGGTCACCACAGGTCAGGCAGGAAGAACAGGAGAAAAGTGGTAAGCAACCCTATCACTAGGAGAGGGTGGGGCATGATGCATCATCACCACAGTGAGGAGAACAGAACACGAGATGCAGCAAGTCAATCACAGCAGCCCAACAGCCCCCCACCCACCCGGCAAACAAAGTCTTTCACTAATGTGATAAAAACTGATTTAGACAACAAGTGCACAGATGCACCTCTTGAACTGTTTAAAAAAATCTATGATTCCTTTTTTTTCCCTGTATTTGTATAGCGCTTTCCTTCACTTATTGTCCACAGCCACAAAAAGTTGGTTAACATGTCTACTGTTGCTGCTTTAACCTGTTATTGCATTTAGCAAACTCTACCTGTCAGCAAGCATTTGTAACTTAGTCTCAATAAATCTCTATGGTGTCATTTTCATAAAGCGAGTCAGAACTAACATCAAACAATTCAGATAAAAGACAGGAAATGGATGAGACTGCTGTCTGAACGACTCGGCTAAGGCATCTTCTCTGAGAAATAAGAATATGCTCTATGGTCCAGTCTAGAAGATTCCTGAATAACACAAAGGGCACGTTTTTAATTCATGTTGTTCTACGAGGATTTATGACGGGCTAAAACAAACACTGGCCCCTAGAAGATGTCTTGATCGTCTTAGTGTTTGCTAATAGTAAACGCTTCTGCACCGTCCCATACATTTGGCAAACACAATTTGTCTCAAACTTAGTATCAGTAAACGGTCATAGGCCTCAGGTACTTTTTAACATTCTTAATCGCTTTTTTAGTTTATGTGATAATCCTGGAGTTACTTCTTCACCAAGTATGTGCGATGATTTTTTAGCATTTTTCAATAACAAGATCTTATCGATTAGGGCCCTTGTTTCGTTGTCTGTTGTCTCAGTTCAAAGCCCTCCACCTGTGTGTTCAGCTGTCTTAGAGCAGTTTGATCCCGTCTCCCTTAAGGACCTGACCGCGATAGTTAGTGGCCTAAGATCATCACACTGCCCCTCTGATTCTCTTCCCCCGAGTCTGCTCAAAAACACTTTTAATACTGTTGGCCCTTTTATTCTGAAATTGATTAATACGTCCCTTACTACAGGCTGCGTCCCACTATGCTTCAAACAAGCTGTAGTTCAGCCTCTTCTTAAAAAACAAAACCTGGACCCAACTGTTCTGTCTAATTACAGGCCCATCTCAAAGCTTCCTTTTCTATCTAAAGTTTTGGAGAAAGTGGTCTATCTACAGTTGCAGGCACACCTCGATTTTAATATGATCTCAGAAAAATTTCAATCTGGTTTTAAATCATTACATAGCACTGAGACAGCACTTTTAAGGATTTTTAACGATATTCTCTTAACTATGGATTCTGGCAGCCCTGCTGCCCTTTTACTGTTGGACTTGTCAGCAGCTTTTGACACGGTTGACCACGACATCCTGTTATCACGGCTAGAATCGCATGCTGGCCTAAAAGGATCTGCCCTTCAGTGGTTTCGCTCCTACTTGACAGAAAGGTTCTTTTATGTCAATATGGGCCCCCACAACTCCAAATTAGCTCCTCTTAAATACGGCGTTCCTCAAGGCTCTATTTTGGGTCCCGCCCTCTTCGCACTCTATTTGCTGCCATTGGGCTCCATCTTCTCGCGGTACAGCATTTCATTTCATTGCTTTGCGGATGATCTACAGATTTATCTACCTTTAAAATCAGGATCAGATCAACCGCAGCTCTTATTACGCTGCCTTGACGACGTTAAACAGTGGTTATCATTAAATTTTTTACAGCTAAACGAAAACAAAACTGAGGTTGTCATTTTTGGCAATTTCAATCATATCGACAGCACGTTGGGTACCCTCTCCTCGTATTGTAAAACACATGTAAAAAACCTCGGAGTTTACATTGATGGTTCTTTTAAATTGAATAAGCAGGTGAGTGCAGTAGTTCAGTCCTGTTTTTTTCAGCTAAGACAGCTAGCCAGGATAAAGCCATACCTTCCGGCTGACGTCTTCGAGCGTATCATCCACCTTTTTCTTACTTGCAGATTGGACTACTGCAATTCATTGTATTATGGCCTAGATCATGCCACCATCCATCGCCTTCAGATGGTTCAAAATGCTGCTGCTCGCCTGCTAACCGGTACCAAACGGAGAGAGCATATAACCCCAATTTTAGCCTCTTTACACTGGCTCCCTGTCCCCTACAGGATCCAATTTAAACTCTTACTTTTTGTTTTTAAGTCACTCAACGCCCGAGCCCCCCCCTACTTGTCAGAGCTCCTCTCTGCCTATGCTCCAGGAAAACCCACGAGATCTAGTTCAAAACTATTGTTGTCCATTCCACGGACTAACCTCAAATCTCGTGGTGATAGATCCTTTTCTGTGGCAGGGCCCAGACTTTGGAATAGTCTCCCCTTTAATATTAGATCTGCTCAAACTCTTGAGCAATTTAAATCTTTACTAAAGACACACTTTTACGCTCTGGCTTTTAACACATTATGACCCAAGCATTTTGGATTTATCTGAATTAGTTAGTATTGTTTCAATTCTTCTATTTTATTGTTTCTATTGTTATTATTGTATTACACTGTAGTTTTTAATTTTATTGTTATTGTTAAGCACTTTGTGCAGCATCGGCTGTTGGAAATGTGCTATATAAATAAATCTGACCTTGACCTTGACCTTTATTGTGGTATCAGCTACATATTCTCAGTGGTCACAGGCTCTGATAATGCCCGTGTTAACGCATGCGTGTTATTGCATCAGCTCTCCTTACACATTTCCATAACGAGAATAAGAACGTTGAAAATCCACGTTTTAAAGCCGTGAAGAAAATAAAAAGCTATATCATTGTTATCTAATTCGTTAATTCATTACATAATAGGTGCCAACATGCATGTTAACATCCGCTAGCTAACTGGGCTGAATGAAGGAGGCCGGACCGATTAGAGCGCAGGACTTTTCCTGTAAGCTAACTCTATGGTGGAATAAAAAAAACTGGCTTTTGGGAAGTGTAGTCTCCTTCTCCCTGAAACCTGAATTTAGCGGATATTGTTTTCTAAATATAAGCGCCTTCCATTTTTTCGGAAAGCCAAGTTATTGAGCATCATCTATGTCGAAATGAGAACTGATTAATAATCATATTAGACAGTACTGAGTCAAACAGCATGTATTCCAAGACCGAGAGCTAAACTGCGAGTATGAAAACCTTCTACATGTATTATATAGCTAATCTAGCTAGCAAACAACCAATCAGTTAAAATGCCGAAGCATGGCGCAGCATGCTGTAACTCACTTGTCTTAACATCATAATTAATATTAAGAGTAAATCTTAGTACAGACCTGCTCTTTGCTCGCCTTCTCTGATTTTAACTTCCGGACGACTTCCCCTTGACTTTTAATCGCTTCTTGTATCTGAGCCTTGTCTTCCATTGCTTTTTCTAAATGGTTTTATAGCGCTACCTACTTCACCGGCTACCTACAGCACATACGGACTTGTAACTGTCAACGGAGTATAAAACGGAAACGGAAATAAACGCAATTTCCGATTCATCATTCGTGATGTTCCCGTGTGTCTTTTTATGTGTAATGTCTTTACTTATATTGGTAAATAGACTTCAGTAAACAGGATTTACAAAGGGGTTATACATGAAATTCAAAGTTTCCTGCATTTCAAGTATCTTTATTACTCTGTGTTAGGGACATACATTATAACCGATCCGGTCACTTAAAATATGTTTACTGTAACTGTTGTTATATTTGTTGCCTTTTCTGCTTTCCTTTTGGTCAGATTACTCTTAAAAAATACATTTTTAATGTCAAAGAGATTTTTAACAGCATAAAGGATATATAAAAGTCACTGCCAAAAACTAATTGCAGCTTCTACCTTGTGACAGGAATCTTGTTGGTGGCTCAAGATGACTTGATATCATTCATGAGGGATATTTTTGAAATCTTTTTCACATATTATAGACCAACAAGTTATTTATAGCTTAGTTACAATCACTTTTTGGCAAATACCGGTAATCTGTTTTTGGCAGACAGGAATTCATTAGTTGGGGACACCAAGTTTATGACCTTGAAATTGATTCCATTACTTTAGGAGGAAGGGGGAGTGAAATACATTTTCTTTGTATAACCTTAATTGTCCCAATTTCAAATGATTTTAGAATAAGGTTTCTTTTAGCTGGATTAGAATAGATTTTGTTTATCAAAGTCGTTCTGATCACTTTGTTTGTGCACCTGCAGTCAGAAAAGTCCTGCGATGCACAGCTGTCACTCTAAGAGAAATTTAAGAATGCGCTCTCTCTTCTTCGGGTTATGACTGTCTGTCATACTGAGCATTTGCCTGGTGGACCCCGATGGGTCAATTGAGCTGCGCACCCGTTGTACAAGGACTAACAGCAGCCCATTAAACTCTAATTTCAGGGGTTTATTTTAAGTTTACAGAATATAACATCTGGTAAGACGATGAGTTTTACTTCTCACTGTCTGTGTTATGTGTATCCATTTATCGTGTATGCTACTTTGCTCTGTGGACTGTAAAATGTTTCAGTGTATTCATGAAATAAACCAGAATTTCAATGTCTGAATCTTTTACTGTTTTTCTGCTTTGTTCACTCCAAGTTTGACAAAACCCACAGCTCACAAACATCGCAGCGCAATCTCAGTGTATTTAGCTGCTTTTTCCCTAAACACAATCAGCTGACTGAGAGAAATGCCTGTAGTCATCCACTTTGGTCACTGTGAATGTTGAAGGAGCTTTGTTCCATAGACTGAGCAGCTCCTTCAGTGGGAGACTGCGGCACCCACGGTGTGGGACGGAGAGATTTCGCAGGTCTTTCCTCCCCACTGCTGTCAGACTCCACAACAAAGACTTTAACTGAACAAACACACACATCCACACATGTGCAATAACACTAAGTGCAATAATCCTTTCTGGCATCGTTGTATTTTTACTCAGTTGTATATAGCATTCGTATTCTATTTTTATCTTATTGTATATTTATTTTATTTTATTCTACTGTATATAGTATTTTATTTTATTCTATTCTGTACAGCTGTGTACGGTATTTATTCTTATTGTATTCTAATTTTTGCGTCATAACTTTTGCACTGTCCACTTCCTGCTGTGACAAAACAAATTTCCCACGTGTGGGACTAATAAAGGTTATCTTATCTTATCTTATCTTAGACACCTTATACTAGTGTTTCCTGCACTTAATCCAACACTGCTATGTTCTATTTAAACCCAGATTTCTTTTATAGTTTGCAGTGAAATTTGTTAAACCGTTGCTTAATGGGACAGAAGTACACGTCACTCTTTACTAACACATTGTAGATGAGTTTATTGCTGAACAGCACAGCTAACAGCCTCACACACTCTTTAGATTTCTGAAGCTTTGTGTGTAATGGTTTAGTCTCTCACACCTCACCCTTTTCTCCCAGTATCACAACAGTATGACTCCCAAAGTACGGCTCAGTAAACAAACAAGGACTCTGAAGTCAGAACAGAAAGATACAGCTGGAAGATTAGTGACTGTGTTTTATGATGCGTAGTAAACTACCCCCCTTTTCTTCTTCTCTGTGTTGTTGTTCTTGTGTGCGTGTGTGTGTGTGTGTGTGTGTGTGTGTGTGTGTGCGTGCGTGTGTGTGTGTGTGTGTGTGTGCCTTAGAAGTCAAATTATACATTAGCCACACTTACAAAAAACATTTTTTTAATTTCATTTATAACTGAGATTACAAGTTGTAAGCAGAAATCTTATGCTCAGCCAAAACCATGTTTCCCCACTTTCACAATGCTAAGGTGTCAAATCCACAACCCCCAACAGATGGTTTGTTACATGCGGGCGAGAAGGGCGAGCTTTACTTACACAGCCTCACACACAGTAGCAGCACCACAGGTCAGCTGACCACAGCCTGTAATATTGACTGGAGCTCACAACAGCAATGACTCATTTTCCTGTTTAGGTGTGGAGGCCCCGTCCGCAACGTAGCAACAGACAATAGATTTACATATGTGCTACATATGTGAGTAAAGTCAGTACATTCTTACTAGAAAATAAAGTTTGTTTTGAACATAATTACCTCATAGGATGGAATTCAAGACAGAAGGTGATTTATAGGAATTTAATATTTCTTTCATTTCTTAATAACTGCACAACAATTGTTGCCTTCTCACTGAGCTTCTTGTTGATGGTCTGGTCCGTGTGCACCTGGTAGAGCATCAATCACTGTGGACACTAGTGAGCGTAGCATGCTTCTTCATGTTGGGTAAACATATTTAAGTCTTATTTTATTCTTTTTTAAGTAAAATTGCAAACATTTTATAGGAGGAAGCTGAACACAAGGATTTAGCCTCCATTAGAAAAACAAAATGCTTCCAGCCTCTGAGGAGGGGGTCAGTTTTTTCTGAGCCCATTCAAGTTGAAGGAGCCAACCGTGCCATCCTACTCTGGATCACTGCAAGCACAAAGCTTTAGTGAGTCTCCTTTGACTTTCTCTTCACCCTCCTGCCCTCTAGGAGGCTCCTGTGGCGCCTCCCAGAGGGCAGGAGGGTGAAGAGTCCATGTGATGGGTGACTGGGGTCTTTGATGATTTTCCCAGCCCTTTTCAGACACCGCTTCCTGTAGATGTCTTTTATGGCAGGAAGTGGTGCTCCGGCGATGCGCTGGGCAGTTTTCACGACCCTCTGCAACGCCTTCCGGTCCGAGGCAGAGCAGTTCCCGTACCAGACTGTTATACAGTTGGTCAGGATGCTCTCGATGGTGCAGAGATAGAAGTTCACCAGGATGTCTGAGGACAGGTGGTTCTTCCTCAGAGTCCTCAAGAAGAAGAGGCGCTGGTGAGCCTTCTTGACCAGCTTGGAGCAGTTGGTCGTCCAGGTGAGATCCTCGGAGATGTGGACTCCCAGGAACTTGAAGCTGCTCACACACTCCACAGCCGTCCCCTTAATGTGGATGGGTGGATGTGGGTCAGCATTCCTCCTGTAGTCCACGATGAGCTCCTTGGTCTTCTCGGTGTTAAGCAGCAGGTTGTTTCTGTCGCACCACTCAGCCAGACGATCCACCTCCTCCCTGTAGGCGGCCTCATCGTTGTCACTGATGAGGCCAATCACCGTGGTGTCATCTGCAAACTTAATGATGGTGTTGGAACCATCAGCAGGTCTGCAGTCGTGGGTGAAGAGGGAGTAGAGGAAAGGGCTCATCACACAGCCTTGTGGTACACCGGTGTTCATTGTGATGGTAGATGAGCAGCGGTTATCCAGCCGGACATGTTGGGGGCGGTTGGTCGGGAAGTCCAGTAACCATTTGCAGATGAGGGAGCTGATGCCCAGGTCTGTCAGTTTCCTGATGAGTTGTGAGGGGTGGATTGTATTGAATGCTGAACTGAAGTCTATAAACAGCATTCTGGCGTAGGTGTTGTTGTTGTCCAGGTGTGAGAGGACAGAGTGCATTGCGATGGAGACTGCATCCTCTGTGCTCCTGTTCTGGCGGTATGCGTATGGGTGGGGGTCCAGGGTGGGGGGGAGACAGGATTTGAAGTGTGCTAGGACCAGCTGCTCTAAGCACTTAGTGATGATGGGGGTGAGTGCTACTGGGCGGTAGTCATTGAGGCAAGATGGGTTGGAGTTTTTGGGTATCGGGACGATGGAGGTGGAGTTGAAGCAGGCCGGTACCACAGCGTGGGCCAAGGACAGGTTGAATATGTCTGTGAGCACTCCTGCAAGCTCCCCAGAACACGCTCTGAGAACACGCCCGGGGATGCCATCAGGGCCTGCAGCCTTGTGGACATTGATCCTGCTCAGCACCGCTCCTACATCGGTGGGGGAGAGAGTCAGAGGTTGGTGGTGTAACTAACAGTGAAGTGTTCCAATGTTTTTCTTGTGTTTATATTTGTAAGTTTCCTTTAATTGTGGAACTTTGTTTTGTAATTGGTGGTAGCGGAAGTAACGTGCAGCACGGACTGAGTTTGTGGTGACACTAGAGCAGAGAAGCATGGCGCTCTGTGAGTTCAGCTGCATCGTCCTACTGCTTTAAACTGGACTTAAGTTTTAAAGAACACATAAGTTAAGTTAAGTTAAATTA